TCTCCATGTGCTTGATGTTTGAAGGGTTATGGCTTTCTATCTCCATTCTGCTGGTTCCTTTAATAAGAAACTGTGCTCATTCTATTACTATTTGGGTCAAGGCAAATTACATAATTCCTCCTTAATATTTTGCTAAATGGGTCACAGCCCTTACTAGGCTATGTTATAACCTAATTAAGCAGTCATGCCTTGTGGGTAATCAGAGTCATTTGGTAAAGACCATGACCCCTTCATGGCCACATTGAAAAATCTGTTGTCCTCAAGTCAACTGATTTTTCATCTGCTTTATGTCTTTGCTGCTCTTTCTTTTCAAATAAATAAACTACACAGGGCCACAGTAAAGATTTGATATATCATTGTTTTTTGGCCAACTAACCATCCTCTGGCAAATCTAGACAGCATACTAAAAAGCAGAGACATCACCCTGCCAACAAAAGTGCGTATAGTCAAGGCCATGGTTTTCCCAGTTGCAATGTATGGCTGTGAAAGTTGGACCATAAGAAAGGCTGAGCGCCAAAGAATTGAGGCCTTTGAACTATGGGAGAAGACTCCTGCGAGTCCCCTGGACTGCAAGGCGATCAAACTGATCAGTCCTAGAGGAGATCAACTCCGACTGCTCTTTAGAAGGCCAGATCCTGAAGTTGAAACTCAAGTACTTTGGCCACCTAATGAGAAGGAAGGATTCAATGGAGAAGAGTCTAATGCTGGGAAAGATTGAGGGCAATAGAAGAAGGGGACGACAGAGAATGAGGTGGCTGGATGGAGTCACTGAAGCAGTAGGAGTGAGCTTAAATGGACTCCAGAAGATGGTAGAGGACAGGAAGACCTGGAGGAACATTGTCCATGGGGTCGCGATGGGTCGGACATGACTTTGCAATTAACAACAACAACAAACCATCCTCTGCACTCCTTAAGCTCAGTGATCATTTATCATGATTAGGATCTGCAGGAGTGTGCAGAACTGAGAGAAATTTAGATTTTAACATAAAACAGTAGATAACATGTGTTTTGGAGTGGAAGGGCTCTCACAAAAAAAAACATAGAATCTGGGGATATCCAAATAGCCTATTGCACTAGCACGGACCCCTTATATATGAATTTCATGGCTAATCTCTTGATGAACCTGTTACAGCTAAGGAATCAGCTATTTTTCTACTGTCTTATTAATGCCTGTGTTAATTCAGTCCATTGCCACCAATATGGGTCATAATATAACGGTTAGGATCAGATTTAAAGAGGTGAACATTTCCCTATCAGTCAGGTAAGGTGGGGTGGGGTGCTCATCTCTGTTTCTTGGCCGAGGGAACCAGCATTGTCTGAAGACATTTTCCATGGTCATGTGGCTGGCATGACTATACACCAAAGGCACATGGAACACTGTTAGCTTCCCACTGAAGTGGTACCTATTAATCTATTTGCATTTGCATCTTTTGAACTGCTAGGTGGGCAGGAGCTGGGACAAGGGATTGGAACTCATCTTGTTACACAGAGCTCGGGTCTCAAACCAGGCTATCAGCTCTCCAGTGTCTTTAACTGGACAAACTCAGTGTCTTTAACAGCTAGATAAAATTATCCTTCATAAAAGTTCTAGTGTAATCTTGGGAATGTAAAAAGAAAAGTATGAAAAGGTATTCTGTAATTATCATTTCTGTGAGAAACAGCCTTATCCTAGCCAATGTAGTTCTAGAATTGGTATTAATCAGCATAAATGGTATAATACAGTAAGCCTATGGTTGAGCAGTTAGATGGTAGTGGTTAGGAAGTGAGTTGTTAAGTTGTTAAGTTTTACATAGGAATATAATGATAAGAGTTCAGACAGATGTGGACAATATTGAGGGTTTGAGGCACATGCAGGAAAAGGAAATGGGAAGGAAATGGAAATGTTGGTGAAACTAACCAGAGGAATCCAAGTCATAGTGATTAAGAGCTTTGAGTACCTGGACCCACCACAGCAAGAGGCAGAGGTCCTGGGCTCCCAGTTTGTCAATCTAAAGCCATTTTGGGGTCTGCAGTTTTATTTTCTGATTGTTCCTTTTACATTTTAGTGCTCTGTCTTTAACATTTTTTATAGATTTATACTTTAAGGCTATAAACTGCAGGAAGTTCACGTAGTTTATAATGGACTTCATAATATGGACTATATTGCATTATTTATAATATAATTATAAATACAACCAACCAGTCAGTGAATTATGAGAAATAATGAGCTTTCCCAAAATAGAACATGCAGGCTGGCAGGACATATTCTGTTAAGCAAACAAATCAGATAACCATGAGGTGGCAGCGAAAAGCTAGTTTTCTGTGTGCTTTTGCTGCCATTTAGTGATCATTTTGATTTTGCAGCCTCAGACTGGAAGCTCCATTAAAGCCATTAGCACAATGGTCATTATTTAATCAAGAATTAAGGTTTCTTAAAAATCCTGGTTCAAAGTCATGGCTCAGCATGATATGTGTACCCAGTCACAAAGTATGAATAAGATATATATTTAAAGGAAAGGATCTGAAGAAGAGAGGTAAGATAGTTTATTATGCTATATTCCTATCCATTTTTCCCCCAGATTAATTCTTAAAACTGAAAATTTAACCACTTTTAAAGTGATGAATTTGTCCATATAATTTAAGTAGAAGTTAGCCCAGCAGTTTAGCCAAAAAAAGGTCTAGGTAAAATTTTGCTTTAAGGAATGCATTATTTTTCTCCTACAATAATGCTATATATCAAAACAAGAGAGACGAAATTAGTTAACATCACAGGAAGGAGATATAATCCAAGCAACATGTTCTGGAATTTTTACCGACTGTACAAACATTATCTGTCGTGATGGCAATAATAATAACAACAACAACAATAATAATACTGTTGGAAGGGAACTTGAAGGTCATCTAGTCCAACCCCTTGCTCAGGCAGGAAACCCTATACCATTTCAGACAAATGGCTGTCCAGTTTCTTCTTTAAAACTTCCATTGTTGGAGTTTCACCGCTTCTGGAGGCAGGTTGTTCCACTGGTTAATTGTTCTAACTGTCAGGAAGTTTCTCCTTAGTTCTAGGTTGCTTCTCTCTTTGGTTAGTTTCCATTCGTTGCTTCTTGTCTTGCCTTCCGGTGCTTTGGAGAAGAGCTTGACTCCCTCTTCTTTGTGGCAGCCCTTGAGATATTGGAACACTGCTATCATGTCCCCCGTCGTCCTTCTCTTCGTTAAACTAGACATACCCAATTCCAGCAACCGTTCCTTATATGTTTTAGCCTCCAGTCCCCTAATCATCTTTGTTGCTCTTCTCTGTACTCTTTCTAGAGTCTCAACATCTTTTTTACATCGTGGTGACCAAAACTGGATGCAGTATTCCAAGTGTGGCCTTACCAAGGCATTGTAAAGTGGTAT